GGCTTGAGATTTTAGGGTTTAGGGTTTAGGGTTTAGGGTTCATGGTTTAGGGTTTGGGGTTAAAGTTTAGTGTTTAGGGTTTGGATTAAGGTTTAGTGTTTAGGGTTTAGGGTTTAGGGTTTAGGGTTTAGGATGTTGGTGGCAAGCATTTTGACTCTCAGAATGAGGTGGGGGGGTCTGGGGACAGGAATGAGGAAGGGTTTTATGACACACTATAGGCTTGTCCTATGATGGTAGGTTCAGTGGGAGCTAGGATTAGGGGGACCCTTGGGGATATAGACCCTCTCAATCAGGTCCCGTTTAAGAGAGCCAAAAGCAGGGTTCAGAAGGGGTACCCTTTAAGGGGTACACCTAGTAATACTACCGATTCAATCAGTTCCTTCGGGAACACTAAGGAACACGAGGAAGCTTGGTGTCACCAACATCAAAGCCATCTTCCAGTTGGATGCTCCTTCGGCGCCTCGGTCGCCTACTGTCTCCGCATGATGAAGCCCTAAACCTTCCCTGAAGCCAAAGCCCTGAGCCCTAAGCACTGAACCCTAAACCCACCGAGACGCTTGCCTTTTACTGTCGTGCGCCGTCTCAGGGAATCGGTCGGACGCTCTTCGTCGCATTCCGGGGCTCGCGATTCGTGCGTTGTTTGGAAACGAGAACGTAAGGCCGGTTGGGGGTTTTCCTGATCATGGTTCACGAAGCGAGCCAAGCCTAGAGATCAGGATTTTCCCAGCTAGCTGCCCTTCTCAAGAGGCGATGAGACCACCAGCAAGCTCTCTTGCCGCGACCGGCGCCACGCAACGACCCGTTCGGGTGGCTGGGACAGCGCATCTCCGCCGTTCCTGGATAGCATCTCAGCTCCAAATCTCTAAACCGCCTAAACCCTAAACACCCTAAACCCTCAACATGCGGATGAGGTTAAACAGGAGGATGAAGATGAGGATGGGGATGCTGATGACGATGATCATGACGTTGATGGTGATGATGATGATGGTGATGATTATGGCTACGGTTCTGACGAATATTAAAAACCCCACACCGTCTTCGTACTCGCAGTATGGTTACGCCTTCAGAAAATTAATCCGCAATATGTGTATATACAAAGGTATGTGTATATATATATATATAATATACAGAGGTGCGTGTATACAAATACAATATATGTATATCAAAACCCTTAGCATCAGGGTTACTGGCCTCCCCCTTCGCGATGTGTACTAGATCCCGGCCTTCTACATTGGAGAAACTGGATTGAGAGTCCCAGACGCCAGCATATGGGGATGATCCCAAACAATGGTTTCGGCACTGCACCAAACACTGCCAACCCAAGCACCCCGAAGAACCCAAAACCGTAGGACTAAAAGCCCGAACGCGAACCCTAGACCTTTGCAGGTGTGGCTCAAATACTGTGCCATGATGTGGGCACTGGCCGTGCTCGTGCCACTGTCGTCACTGCGGCTGCTTGTGACGCTCGAAGCGCTACCACTGCGAGACATTCGTCGACCTCGGACGGGGTGTCCAAGGTCCAAGTTGCACATGGGGTTTGGGGTTCAAAATACACCAAGCGGGTCATAGCACTGCTGACCTTACTTACAAAGTATTCACTTGTCATCCGCCTGCATTGGATGTCATCAGAGTCTCGCAGCAGTAGCCAGATTTGAAGGGGTCTTTGTTTGTTTGGAGTTAGAGCATGACCGACCAGGAGGAACAGTTGAGTAGGTGCCAGGGCAAGACGAGGATGACCGGCACCTGTAATGGCCGCAGCAGGTGCCAATATGTGGCATGAAGCACGAAGAAGCAGCATTTATGTAACACGCCATAAACAACCCTGAACTCAAGCCCGAAAGGCAGCAGGTAGTTTAGGGTTTAGGGTAGTACGATGAGGGATGTAGGAGTCATAGCGACGAGTCTTGGGAGCACACCAAAAGAATAAAGATAATGCGACCTCACACAATATTGAAAGACAGCTCCTGGGACACCCTATCCTGTGTGGAAGCCTGAAGAATTGCCTCTGTGATTCCTTAACAGTTCTTTAGTATACTTACACTACCATGTACCCCAGCACCCCATTCTGATTTTCAAGCCCCATCCTTCAGCCAAACTACTTATTGCTATTACTCGTCTTGTCATTGTTACCACCAGTTAAAAAGTAGTAGTAGTCGTCGTCGTCGTCGTCGCTGTCGTCGTCGTGGTCGTCGTGGTCGTCGTCGTCGTCGCTTTCGTCGTCCTGCTTCTCGTTGTCTCTGTGCACATCGTCGTCCTCGTCCTCGTCGTCAAAATTGTCGTCGTCATTAGTAACAGCAGCTAGCAATTGGATTATGGTTCTGATTCTTAACAATACTTTTCTGTATTGTAACTATTAACTATTGCTAAACCTTGAGCCCTCGGCCCTGAAATTTGAACCCTGAACCGCAGCAATCTCCAAACTCTCAAACCCCCTCCTAAGCTTTCGAATCGGAGCACATGGCTGGCCACTCCAGTCCATGATCTGTGCAGGATCCGGGCACGTAGACGAAGCCCTGGTTTGGCTCGTCGACTCCTTCGCGGTGCCGCGGAGGAGGTGGTGGTGGAGTGTCGGATACAAGTGGAGGACCCTAAACCCTGAGCCCTAAACCTTACACTCTAACCAAACCCAGAACCCTAAACCTTAAACCCTAAACCCCAAAACCCTAAACCCCTAAGCCCGTAAACCCTAAACCCCTAAACCCTAAAGCCCTTAAACCCTAAACCCCTAAACCCCAAAAACCCCAAGCCCATCGGCTGCGGCGAGATATCCCAGCCCTGGCTCAAACAGCTGTAGAAACACTGGGTTTAGGGTTTAGGGTTTAGGGTTTAGGGTTTAGGGTTTAGGGTTTAGGGTTTAGGGTTTAGGGTTTAGGGTTTAGGGTTTAGGGTTTAGGGTTTAGGGTGCAGCTCGGACTCTTAGAATGCCCTCTTGAAGAGTGGTTTAAGGTTTAGGGTTTCGGGTGTCCCAACTACCCTAACCCCTATTGCACCAGAAGCCCTAAACCCTAAGCCCTAAACCCTAAGCCCTAAACCCTGAACCCTAAACCCTAAACTTATTCGGGTTCCTTTAAGGCTAGTAAGGCCCCTAACTTTAGCCCGGCTCCTGCTCCTCCGCCGGTCCAGTCCCCCTTCCGGCTTTGGGCTCACAACTCCCGTTGCGGCGCTTGGACCAGCTCACGCTGCCCTGCATCACCGCCTCCCATGGGGCGCTAGGGTTTAGGGTTTAGGGTTTAGAGTTTAGGGTTTAGGGTTTAGGGTTTAGGGTTTAGGGTTTAGGGCTTGGAGTTTAGGGTTTAGGGTTTAGGGTGTTTTGGGATTTTCGGGTAACCCCACACCCTGTACCATAATCCCTAAACCCTAACCCTGCACCCTAGACGGTTTAGGGTTTAATGTTCAGGGTTTAGGGTCGCTAGAATTCACGAGAACGTCTTTGGGCTGCTCTTCTGGGTTTGGATGGCTTTGGGGCGTTGGGTGGTAGGGGGTTTTGGGGCGTTTTGAGGGGTTTGGGGGGGCTTTGGGGGCGTTTCGGGGGGTTTTCTCCAGAGCTGCGGGGCATGCTACTAACCACCAGTGAGATCAATGCGAGAATAAGGTAGGTGATAGGAGTGCTACGTACTCTTCTCATCATTGCGAGGGTGAAGTCAAGTCTTCATATCACGATCACTGACTTCACTACCCGGTAGCATCGGTTGCAGTCGGTCAAAGCTGCAGGCTTTTGGCTTCTGTGGAGCTGCGGGTTTTCCGGGGTTTACAATTTAGGGCTAAGGGTTTAGGGTTT